CCAATCATAGAAGACCTTGGCTCAGCAAAGCGCAAAAGCTGTGCTCACATGGCCTTGATTTAGCCGCAAAGCCGACAAAGGGTAAAGAGTGCGCATGTAATCTTTGACCCCTCACTGGACACCGGGCCTGTTCCACCTCTCGACTCATCTCATCCAAGTCCTGACCCGACACCACCTCGGTGTCCATAACCATGCAAAGCCATGGCGGTGTTCAATTAAAGGAAGCGAACTACGGAGCCTTTTTCAGCAAAGGTGCTTTGGTGCTAGCACTGCTCTCTTGAGCCAAAATGTCCGGGTGGAACATGTTGGTGTCTTATCGTGAACACCAACCTTGCAAACGTAAGCTAAATGCAAGGATAATATAAGCAATGAAAGGGTTGTGAAACACAGGTTCATCGGTGGGAGTGCCATAATATGTTGCAATGAATTTGCTTCTATTGTCCGTGTTCCTGGCTCCTCCTCCTCCTCCTCCTGACTGCAACTTCCGCCTTCTCAGGATGAAGACTGCTGCAGCTACGACTGCGATGACTACTTTACAACTTACAACCATACTTCTTCTGAATCTCTTCATCGCAGTTATTCATTATGAACAACAAATCCTATGTCTTCCAATCTTTTCCAACAACCACGACCACTCTCCAACCACAGCGGTGCCTGGATTGGCACCGCTGCCTGGCTTGGTGCTGTGTAGGACGTCGAGGTCCCTTCCTCGACCTCGTCGGCACCGCCGCTCGCATCGTCCACCATGTGCGGAAAGAGCTCGGCCACATTCACCGAGTGCTTCAGCTGAGGGAGAGAAGTCGGAAAGGAAGAGACAAAGAGATGGTTGGAGTGAAGTTTCACAAAGACCCAGATTGGTGTTTGGGTTGGGTCATCGTGGACATCATGTCATGGGAAATGTGTGGTGGGTGCTTCTCTAACAGCGGGCGACTCGCCCCCAAACACAGAAAGTCCAATGAGCAAAACATGTTCCGCAAGACACATGTTAGTTCATCCATTTCAACTCAAAAAACATTCATGGCCGGCGGCCAACAATGCACCTTCGCCAAACTGAACAGACTTGTGTTGGCACAATTTCGATTCTGGACGGTGTGTACCTGAGAGGAGCACCAACCTGTGAATTGGAAAGGTTTTGCTTTACAGTGTAGACCACTTACTGTTGAGAACGGTTGCTCCAAGGAAATGGTGTTCAGCTTCATACCAATCACAAACCATGTCTTTCGCAGTGGTTTATGAGAAATTACACCTATAAGCCTATAGCCTCTATAGGTTGTGAGAAAATGTCAGCTAATTTTGCAGGAACCATCCCTGGAAAGGGGATCCCTTGTTGAACCTAGCAGAGCACATCGAAGCTCAATCTATTGCGAATTGCACAACAAAGAACATACTCTGAAACAGGACCCGGCACACGTGACAAATGTTTTCATGGCACATTGCTGATTCTACTGATTCATGAATGCCTCATCCTCTACATATGATAGCTGTGTCCTCTGTAAGGGACTCATCCTTGGTGTCGTGTCACCCTGATCTTTGGCAGTTTCACCGTCTTCTCCTTCATGAGCATGGTCACCCGACGAGTGTGCACAGCTTGCAAAAAAAACTGAAAACACCAGCCACATGTGACAATCATGTGTATTTCGATCTTGTGGCCTCACCGAGAATTTCGGGCCTCACCTCCATGACGTTTCTCCCCGCCGTGCCCCCAGAGGAAAACGCTCGCTCTCTGCTCTCGGGCGACCGGAGCGGAGCGGGTGCCTCTGTGGAGAAATCTGAGGCCTCACCGGGTGTGTTTGTCCACCCCGGATCGTCCTGGGCGCTTGCGAGGCTTGGACGATCTGAGAAAAGGACCATCATGGACTCACATATGTTTAAGAACTAAGGATTGATGGCGTGGTGGGAGTCGCAGCGTGAACCCACTGAAGCCAAGGGGCTCGACTGTATCCACGCCAGTCCAGCCTGCGCCGAGTCCAGCCTGCGTCGTGATCCTCCAGACCAATCTTCGGGTCCCAATCTCTGTAGCGTTCCCATCGCCAAGATCGTGTATTGTAGTCCTGAGGCCACTGACTCCATAAGCTGGACATTTCGGCCAAATAGAAGATGCAAAAAAGCAATGGGTTGGGTATGGTTGGGTCATCTTGGGCATCGTCTATAGTCTCCCTTTTCAAACGTAGCAAAGTGCGCTGAGAACAAGAAATCGAGACATATCGAGACCAGAGTGCATTCAGGGTGCCCTGCTTTTGAGCCATGGCCAACAACTACACTGTGTGAGATTATAGGTCATTATAGGTCCTTTTTTTCCTGAGGGGCTGCGGTGGCTTGATGTTGGTTTTGAAACAAGGCGGGCACCTTGTAGAATCAAATTCTTTGAAGCCGGGGCGCCGACTTCCATGAAGATGCTGGATTCTCCCAGGTGTTCCGATCCCGCCAATTCGATGTAGAGTAGTTGTCTTGCGCATCCTCCGATCTTTGCCACCATTCCTCATTGCGCCACTCGTTTGACCAGCCAGGATGGCGCTCGGTACGGTCAACCTCGCGCAGCATTGAACTGCCTCCATACCATTTCTTGGTCCAGCTACTGCTGCCCCTCTCATCATCACTCCCCTCGGAGGGTGGAAAAACATCCAGCGTCGGCAAACGAGCACCCGTCTCATCAAAAACCATCGGTTTGCAGTCCTCAGGCAAATTGCACTTCCACCAGTTCTGCTTCATTTGCTTCTCAATGTTGGCCTCATACCCCTGGATGGAGGACCACTGTGCACGACAGGTCCGTTCGCTGTGGTGCCTCCCAGGCCAAGTCGTGAATCCCTGAAAGAAGCGTTGGCAATCGACAGCCTTGTGATGTTCGCGGAAATTGATATAAGCCAAACCAGTACTTTGAAACTTGTCCACATCCATGGGTAAATAAAAGTAGTCATAGCAACAGTAGAAATGTTCGTCCAGAACTCCCAGCAATATTTCAGCATTCAGTGTCTTTGGGAGGCCAGTGAGAACCTCGGCTGGGAAAAAGGCAACTCTCCATGTTCACGTCTCCAATCTGCTGAAACAACATTCACCAATGGATTGAATGAATAGGTTCCTATCTTTTTGATCGTCCCAAAAATTAAGGGTTCCCTCGAGTCTCACCAATGCATCCCGTAAAGGTCCTATATAATACAGCAGCCTGAAAACTAGTTCGGCTCAAAAGAACGCCTGCTTTCTTTAAGGAAAGCAGGGCTCGTGCTACACACCATCAGTTGAGCCCCGACCGGACCGATATGAGGAAGTCAGGTCGACTGCGGTCTCCTTGTTTTCCTGATCTCGGGACTTGGAGATTCCATATGGCTATGAGTCAAAACCTCCCTCCCCCACTAAACCATCAGAACTTGACATCCCTTAGAAAGGGATATAAAGGGGAATTAAAGGGATCTGTTCACTTTCAGGGATCAACTAGGATGCCCAGGTTTAGGCGTTTGACCCACAGCCACTATGTTTGGTGATGAAGTACTTGATGAAGTACAGCTACTGAGCTACTGGTGGAAGGAGGGACAAAAAAGCCCATCAAATGATTTTCCGCTTTGAAGAGACGTCAGATCCGATGAGTGGTGCTGAGCTCTTTACGATCCGTTCATCCGGTAGAGATGGCGGGTGGTTGAGTCATTCAGGAATTCTTGGCTGTATGTCAGGGCGCCTACTAATATTTTGCAAGAGTAGAGAAGCTGGTCCGTCTCTAGTGATACAGTAGTAATCAGGAAACCCTCCAAGCTCTCGGGAAAAAAACAAACTAAATAGTAGTCAATAGTACTATTATGTAATATTAATACAAACAAGAACACACACACAAACAGAAGAATCATAAAAAAATAACAAAAGTCCGCACTGCCTAACGCTGTTTGCTGCTTGGGCGCTACTGTAGTCTCACTGCCCTCGTGGGAGTTCCATGCCCGACCTTCCCAACCTTTGCCCATCCGACCGTGGCGACACGACCGGCCGACCCGAGACGGAGCGGTGACGGAACGGTCCGCGGTCCGCGGGTTGGAACGGCCCTGGAACGGTCCGCTCTTGAGCCGTGGAGTGAGTTTGGGAGGAAACAGCCACCCAAGAGGAACTCTTGGACTCTTGGTTGTCAGAACTGTTGGTTTCAGAATCAAGCACTCAAGGAGTTTGGCCAGGTAGATGAACACCTAGAAAAAAGTTGAAAAGTCCTTTTGCAGAAACTGCATGGCTACACAGAAACGCTTCACCAACGCTTTGTTTGAGGTGTGTGCCTTGAACGAGACAGAGAGATGGACTTCCATTCCCACTCTTGGCTTCGAAAGAAGAACTTCCAGGTCTTGCACACCAGGCTTCTTTCAATCTAGAATCTAGTCATGGAAGGCTGTTCTGCACAGAACGTTCCAGGATGTTCCAAGCACGTTCGTCCTCTCACGTACGAAGAACGGAATGGTAAAAGATTTCATCTTCAGTCCCCTTGTCAGTGCGCTGGAGTGTATTTTTCTCGGATATTCAAAACGTTCGGTCTCTCCAACATACTGCCGCACACTCGCAGAGAGCGGAAAAGCGTGGAGCCTTCTATTGACCCGGCGAGGAGGGAATTGACCCTGCAAGTAGGTAGCCTCTTCATCACCAAGAAGCTTTTTGGCCGTCTCAGTATGTCAAAACTCAACGAAGGCGTGGTGGTCCCAGGACGCGGATCAACGAGGCCCATGAGGCCATGAGGTGGAAGTTCGAGTCATTCGGTCTTGGCGAATCCGTACAACCGGACCCATCGATCCCCCAGCCATGACAGCGCACAAACCATCGTGGATCAAGCTGAGGCAAAAATTCACCCGGATAAAGGCCAAACGTTGGAGAGTCAAAAATGAGCATCACCTTGTTTCAAGGCGCAGAAACATGCAGAAACCCATGACCTTGTTTCAATGAGCATCAATACGTTGCCCCTGGTTCGGTCTTCTAGGAAACCCGAATCGTCCCAAGAACCCGAAGACGCTTTGGCATCCCGCGCAGGTCACCGAGCCCGGCACCAGGTCGTTGCCGAGCGCTTTCCGTTTCTTCGAGGCCTCCGCGCGGAGGCGACGTCCCAGGACGGAGGCGACGTCAAAGACGTGCTCTATTAATTAGTATCATATTAACAGATTAATGGATAATTAGTATCTCTATATTAATGAGATTCATCTATTAGTTAGTATCTCTGTTAATTAGTACCTATTAATCGGTATCATATTAGTCATGTGGAGACTGTAGATTCACATAGATTCACATTCCATTTCGACTGTAGAAGCTCTTCATGAGTGTGTTTGGAAATAGTGAGACTGCCCCGTGTCCCATGGGTTTGGTCGTCTAGTTTTCTGCGTAGCCACAAGGTGGGTATGGAAGCTCCTGTTCCCCCTCAGAGGCATGCAGTCGGTTGTGTTTTTATCCTTACCAGCTGCGTCAGGCTTAACATGGTGTAACACATCCCGGAAGAGGAACTTCAGGCAGATGCGTGACAAGGGGCTGAACAAAAATCGGAACAGAGTTGCTGGTGTAAGACTTGGCCACTGTGGGTGGAGGTGTGTTTCCTAAGATCAATTTCCAACTGTGTTTATGTCTCCGAGAGCATGTCAAGGTTGAGCGTAATGTGACTCCAAATGAGCAGCATACCTCATAGTATATATAGCTGGGTTTAGCTCGTGAGGAAGCATCGTCTATGAACTAAGAAAAGGTGCATCCAGAATGTTCTGATCAATCAAAGGAGACATTTGTTCTGGCATTTTGTTCCTGTGAGTGAGCCTCCCACGATCGACAGAGCATAGAGTCATAGAGACACGAAGACCTCTCAGTGGTGGAGGGCGTGGAATCAACAGCGCTGCTCTGTGAGCCCAAGTGCGTTGACCGTACATAGTCATACACTTCTTCTTGCAAAGCAAGAATCTTCCAAGGGGGCATTGTCCACTTCCACGGTACTGAGTCGGAGTGTACTGGTCGGCAAAAAAGAAGACCTGAGATAACACTCGCTACTTTTTTCTCGTGTCCTCCCACGCCATGCACACCAAAACCACGCCGCATTTCCGAATAGGGGGGATGCCAGGACGTGCTTCGGAAGCTCTTTGTTTGGTGCGCCTCCAAACCACCCGAGTTCGGCCCCAGGGGGCCACGACGCTGACGAACACGCCGGCCTCGTCCACCTCTTGCTGCAACGCGGTGGCATCGTCGCCACCGACCACCAAGCTCTGGGACACCAAGAAGACCTGTTGCAGTCGACGCTGTTCAAGCGAAACGCCCCCATTTGCAAAGACCAGAACAAGGATGTAATTGTTAGGCGAATGTGGATGGATGTCTGCAAAATGTAGACTAGAGTGACTAGAAGCACTCCTGTTAGACCCAGTGATTAAGGATTCAAACAAATCCACTTACCATTTGGCTCACAAATTCTGGTGCGACGGTCCAGCCTTGATCTTGCCATACTCCTTTATCAAGAGCTTTCCTTCCGTGACCAAGCTCTCCATAATCGTCTGGCCAAGCCGCTTTGCAGGTGCAAAAAACGGGCAAGTTCACATGTCGAAAGCATGGGATTATAAATTATGATGGATTGTGTGATGTTTCGGATGTTTTGTGGTTTGCACACATTGTCATCAATCCTCCGAAAGACACGTCCACCATCAAGGACCCCTCGAACAACCTCCATCCGCATGAACATCCCTTGAGCCACCGTGGGAATTGAGCACTCCTTGCATACGTGTCAACTAGTGCTGGGGCATACATGGAAGGATTTTTGGCGCTGCTCTCTCTCTCTCTCTCTCTCTTTCTGTTCTTAGATCCCTTTTTCGCCGGTGTCGTCACCAGCACTCAGCTCTTGTTACCTGTCCGCTGTGAACAGCTGTGGGCGCCCACCCAGCGGGGAGACGAGACCTGCAGAAACCATCGTGCTCTGCCATCTTCCACTGGAAACCCACAGATCTCCTGAATCGCAGAGATCAAGGGGGTGGAAGAATCTGATGCTCAACCAGCACACTGATTCTGATCGGGTGAAACTCCCGAGCGAGCCCTCCCGATCGTTCGGAACCCAAATCGCCTGCACCGAGCCTTTCGGCACAGCACCGTGGAGGTTGTCGAAGACGTTCTGGGCGTTGTAGGGCCGATTCTGCTGCCTCACCGGGGGCGCAGGCACGGCGCGGGGGACGCTCAAATCCAGGTATGAACTGTGCGCGTTGGTGACCTAAAGTGCATAAGTTCTGGTGTTACAATAGCCTGGACCCTTCTTGTTTGACACACAAGACTCAGGTGCTCCGCCCATCTCAGGTCTGAGGAACTGACTTAAGCAATGAGACAAATGACAAGGAAGGTGAAGACGAGCTAGAGGATTTAGAGGGAACTGCAGGAAACTCCTACAGCAGCTTTCCTACTCAAAGTTCAAACAGGTCAAGCACACTGCCATGAAGAGCAAATGCAAGGAAAGTGGACAATGATGTGTACATGTGTATATAACCTAAAAGCTAAACCACAGCACCCTCCCCTCCGGTGCCTCATGTACTCCAAGACCTTGACCTCCATCTCATCCTGCAAGAACTCCCTCGTTTGCTCAAAAGAGCACCAACGGACCCCTGCTATCAAACCCTGGTGGGATCGGTTAATGGACATCTCATGTTGGAGTGGCTTCTGGAGCACAGGGGTGGGGCCGTGTATCTTTAAAAATCTGGCACCGAACAGCTTTTGGATGGCACCGAACACATCACCGTCCAACCGTATCGGGCTCCACTTTCCACCGCGCGCAGGCTGAGCAAGAGATCCATGCCCTCAAAGTGGACTCTGTCCAGCAAGGGTCGTGCCTTTGGCCATTCTTCGCACGTCTCGCAAGCACCTGCCGCAGCAGCACAGGCGATGACTGGGAGATGGAGGTTCTGCTTCGAAGCGATCCTGGGCTGTGCTGCACGCATCTGGCACACCCGTCTGGAGGAATTCTTGTCAAAGATCATCGTAGCACCAAGAAAGAGTGGGTTTGTTTCGAGGAGTACCAAGTTTGGTGTTTCACTTGCAGGGTAAGCAGGTTGGATGAGCAGGTTGGATGTAGGGAATCCACCCTGAAACCCCAAATCTGTCTCCGGACCGGCGTGGGCTGGGACCGCGTGGGCTGGTGTCCCATGCGGTCTCGACAGGGCGAGACTCTGAAGCAACAGCACGGCGTGCTGCCAACGGGATCCCTGCGCACAAGCACTGATGGCAGCAAAGAAGGTGATGAAGTCTCCTTGCAGTCCATCCATCTTGAGGTCAAAGAGAAGATCCAAAGCAGTCTGCCAACTGGAGGCTCTCTCCTTAGTTTAGTCTTGTGTTAACAATGGCCCGGAGAATCACAGGGCTGATTTCCCTAATCGTATTTTAGTAGGAAAACAATCCTCAAAGCAAAATGATTCTGAAGCTTGGCCAGGTCGACTGGCCCAACAAGTGCTTCAAGGAAGACCCGCAAGCAACAGCCCCATCGACACAGGCAGGACGCTATTGGACGACTGGGAATGAACAACAGGTCCTACACCAAACCACCTGCTATGTTTGGATTTAGAAACAGAGTGATGTGCGCAGGCCTATTGAAAAAGCACAAGCCCTACCTTCCAAGTTTGTTTCAAAGAATCCTTGATTTCTGTGGAAGACACCCAGGCCACCTTACAATGAAATTTCTTCAAGTCTCACATGCGCTCACTGCAGCATTGTAGCTCACCACATTTGCTGCGCGCGCCTCCCGCGCGCGGTCCAGCACCGCGAGCGCGTGTTGCCAACGGCGCGCTTTTTCGCAGGCGCTGATGGTGGCGCTGAAGGTGATGGTGTCAGGGTGATGGACCTTAAGAGGTATCACCAAGGCATGACGATTAAAATCTGGCAAGGAAAAAGAAGAAAAACCTCACCACCACAAGCTAAGCAGGGATGAATTAAACATATATGTAGAGATGTACACACATACAATGTCATACAATATCCGCACCATGGATGGGTTCTCTAGTCCACGGCCCTCTTACCATTTTGTGCACCAGAAGGTCCAAGGCCATCTCCCTTTGCTTACTCTCCGAATCCTGTGTTGGGCGGTTTGGTGGATTGAGATGGTCATGAACTGGTACCCAAAAAGCATAGAATTTGGGCCACAGAATCAAGTGCAAATTGGAAGGGGTTGAAAAGGTGGGTGACCCTGCATGTACTGATGTATTCCAAACATGGAAAACTCAAAGGGACGAATCACTTTAGGCTTTGAGTCGATCTGTTTCGTCTGTTTCGTAGCGGCTTGACTGGTCGATCTCGTCCAAGCCACCGTACTGAAGATCTCCAAGGCCTGTTGCCATTGGTCGCCCTTCTCACAAGCGCTGATGAGGGCGTTCTGCGCGACGAGATCTGTCAGCCCCGAAGATCCAAAAAGAAACCTCGGATCTGAATGGGGCTCATAGGATGATGCGACCACCTAGTGTTCCACTGTGGGTGGAGGCAGGTTGCAAGGTTCACAAGTTATTAACTACCAAGTGTTGTGAATGAAACTTCCACCTGCCCTGAGACTTATTCAAGTCTTATCATCAAATCATATCAAAGCATATCAAAGCTAAATAAGGACTTGTCAAAACCGTATCACTGGGCAGTCTTGGTGGCGGCTGGTGGGTGGAAAGTCGGAAACGAACACTTCACAAAGCTTCACACCCAAAACGAAGAAATCCGCCCGCACAATCCACGACTTGACTGTCAACTTGGCGGTCAAGGAGCAAGGCCCATTGCCATTCGCCGGCTTTTTCACACGCGCTGATCGCAGCGTTGTAGGAAATCCGGTCGACGGCTTCGGCTTTGCTCTGCAGCAGCTGCAAGGCCCATTGCCACTGGGAGGCTTTCCTGCAGCTGCCCCACTGGAAGACGAACAGAACCAAGCACTGAAATGAACAAAAAACACCATAACACACCTCTCAAATTTGTACTTAGATAGGGTTCACTTTACATTTCGATCCATTTATCAGGAGACCTCTGCCGGTTCCTACTCCCGCAGCGACAAATCCCCACAAACAATAAATGTGTCTTGTACATGTCGAAACTTTAAACATAGAAGATCATAGAAGGGTAACGAAGGGTATGTTTGATCATCCAGCAAGGTCTGGAGAATACCAAGTTTCTCACAAGCACTGATGGCTGTGTTGCAGGTCACCAGCGTGACCTCGACGCCAATGTCTTGAAGTTCCACCAAAAGTAGTAGAGCGTGTTCCCATTCAGCAGCTTTTTCCAGTGCATTCCTAGTGATCGTCTGTTGGCGGGAAGACTCCCACGTGTCAAGCTTCTTGTCCGTATCCAACATGTGTTCAATGTAACTAAGTCAGTCATGGGTGCTTGAACATTTTCCTGGTTGCGTATCCACAGGTCTGTTTATCCAGCCAAAAATCAAGCTCCTCGGGCGATCACAATTTCATGTGCGGTTCTCTTTCAGGGTCTTTGTTTTTGAGCGCTCGTTTCTAAATCTGAGCCGGCTGCAACACCGTTAGGCTGTGATACTCCTGCTTAAGAACCTTCACAGAATTGGACTATTGAAAAGTATAAAATGTTGTTGTAATCGGTTCAGGGCTCTATTATCGTATTATACAGGAAACCGATGGAAACGCCGTTTTAACATGTTTCAACAGACCTAGACTCATCGCAGCACCGTACGCGATAGAGTCGGCTTTGAGGCATCGGCCCATTAGCTCATCCAGCAGGCTGACCGCGCGTCGCCAGTGTTCGGCCCGGGCACAGGCGCTGATGGCGGCGCTATAGGAGATCAAGTCGACTAGGTGACCTCTCCTCGGAGAGGACGGAGGCATGGCAGGGATACTGTGATTCATCGCATTTCATCGCCACAAGTGGTTGTTGATTCATTCAGTGGCATCGCCATAATGATGGGTGCGTGCTGGCTGGTGCCATCTACTTTGAATGTGCCAAAGACCGAGACATGGTTGCGAGTCACTAGCCATTGGACATGTCTTGAAAAAAAAAAATCAAGGCATCGGGCGATCAAGCCCGCAACGAAGCAACCTGAGATTCCATTGTTTTTTCTAAAGTGTGTAGCACAAAAACGGTGTCTGTCAGGAAAATGAACCCAAATCCTCAAAGAAGCGCCCACACGAAAAGGTTGCGTCTTGGATCTAAAGTCTTAGGACCCTCGAATCTGAACAAGCCATCCAGGTGGGACCAGCATCACGTGGCCATGGTTTCACAATCACTATCCACAACAGCTGCCAAAGGAGCATTAAGAACCCCCACAGTTGATTCGGAGAGAAAAAGGTGCCACGACTTCTGCCCGGTCCAGCTACCTTGTTCAACTTGTTCTTAGATTCTGATGTGAAAAAACAATCAAAGCCATGTCTCTTTCCCATCTCTAACAATCTCAGCGCATCCTGCCAGAGTGTTGCCTTCTCACAGGCGCTAATGCCCGCGTTCAGGGTGATCGCGTTGTTCTCTCGGTGGGACGTCAGGTGGGACATCAGCTGGAGTGCCTTGGTGCCCTCGGAGGCCTTGCCACAGGCACTGATACTGGCACTGTACAGGAGCAGGTTCGCTTCCTGAGAGTGAAAGGTTGAGAAGTAAGGGGTCCATCGTACAAACAAATGAGCATGTTTTAACAGCCGCAACGGCCAAGAAGACTGTATATAAACAATGTAATTACAAACATCATCAAGATGATAAGAGTAAGTAAGTAAATAGCCATCTGATTCCTGGAGAAGCTGTGGCCACCAAAAACGCGGGCTCCTGCAACTACGCGCCTCTCAAGATGTTAAGCACTATGGCACATGAGACATGAATACCATCTTTCCGCGGCCCTGCCAGCAAGAAGCAGCCGCTCTTGTTTTTTTCTGTGAACAACCACAACACCGACACTTTTCGGCATCGAGGCAGTCCACGCTGCACACTGCAGGCAACCTGTTTGGCAGGTTCTTTGCACACTGCAGCCACGCTGCCTACGGTCTCCAGTGTGACTCACCTGGTGGAGAGGGTTAAGAGTCCTTGGGTTCGCCTGGTCTGGATGTCCCTCCACTTGCATCTGTCTCTAGGAGTCAATCCCTATGTCGCAAGCCGTCCAAGATAGAGAAAGAGGAACATCATTGACATCATTCATAAGCTGTGCTCATTTATTTCAGAGTAATTATCCATGCTGCAGGTGTCTTAGCACAGCATGTGATGGAAAAGCACCAAACGCTTGAGATTAAGACCCTGAGAACTTGGATGAAGAACTGCGAGTGCATACATGCATGAAAAGAAGCGAATGCAAGCATGCCAAAGCAAGTGTACTTACGTTACACACGGGCAGAATGCACATGCAACCAACATGTGTGTCTCATGGTCATGCTCGTATATATAACCTCGAAACAAACGGCCGTTATTGTGTTGGCTGGTGCCCCTAACCCGACCCCGACGAGGCCCTGCAGGCACCAGTGAAAAACACACGTGACATCAGTGTGTGCACTACAGGCGTGAGCGCACGAGAAAACAGAGGACCGGAAACAAAAACAGATTTTTATCTAATAGACTACTGATTAACATAACTCACAGTAACTGTTACTGGTACA